AAAAATTACTTTATCAGATTTAGGCTCCAACTTACTAGACGTCATGAGACGTTTTACATAAGCTTCACAGCCCCAAATCTTAAAGTACGAGAAACTCGGTTTTCTCCCACGCCATAGTTCGTATGGTGTGCTCTCGACAGCTTTAGATGGAACTCTGTTGAGTGTGTGTGCTGCTGTTTTCAATGCATATCCCCAAAATGATTCTGGCAATGTTGTCAGACTAATCATGCTCCGGACCATGTCAAGCAAAGTCCGATTTCTCCTCTCAGACACTCCATTTAACTAAGGTGTCCCCGGAGGAGTGAGTTGGGATAAAATCCCATGCTCTTTCAGATAGTCATCAAATTCCAGGCTTAAGTATTCACCTCCTCGATCCAAGCGGAGGGTCATAATACTTTTGCCTAATTGTTTTTCTACTTCGTTCTTGAATTCTTTGAATATGTCAAAGCATTCCGATTTGTGTTTCATGAGATACACATATCCAAATCTACTAAGGTCGTCAGTAAATGTAACGAAGTAATAATAACCACCTCTAGCTACAGTGCTAATTGGACCACAGACATCGGAGTGTATGAGGCCCAATAAGTCACTCGCCCTTTCACCGTGACCGGTGAATGGAGCCTTTGTCATTTTACCAAGTAAACAAGATTTACATACATCATATGACTGGAAGTCAAATGAATCAAGTACACCAGAACGATGTAACTTAGATATGGGTTTCTCGTTAATGTGGCCCAAACGACAATGCCAAAGGTACGCGAGATTCAAACTGTTAGGTTTGTATCTCTTAACATCTACGTTATATATTGTAGTATCCATGTCAAGGTTATAGAGACCGTTGGTCATTTTTGCACTTGCATAAAATATATCATTTCTAAAGACAGAAAGAGTTTTGTCTTTTACAACGAATGAAAATCCTGCTTTGTCAAGGCAGGATACAGAAATGATGTTTCTGCTCATACTAGGTACAAACAGACAATTATTCAAATGCAATATTAGACCACTAGGTAGAGATAAACTATAGGTTCCGATGGCCAATGCATAGACGAGTGCGCCATTGCCGACTTTTAGTTGTATCTCTCCCTCCGTCAATTGTCTACATTCATGCAAGTTCTGCATAGAAGTACAGATGTAAGAACCACATCCAGTATCCATCACCCAAGAGGTGATATCAGACATATTGACTTCGATAACGTAAATACCTGAGTTTTGGGGTTGACCCTGGTAAAGGTCTCTTAAGCATTGTATCATAGGACGCACTTCCATGTCCGCATGGAGCCTTTGGAGCTCCGCGGTCATACTGGCCATAATGATACACTTTACATCTCGCGCGTCGTCCTCATACTTCTTGAAGGAAGTGAGTTCGGACGCACGAGCATTAGCATCAGGGGTCTTGGGAGGATCCGTTTCTAGGATGTAGAGTTTCCTCTCACAGTTAAGAACGATTCGGAGGTTCATCTCCCAGTCAAGAAAGTTGGTCCCGGATAACTTGTTGTTTTCCAGGATGTAACGCAGGTTGAAAGGGTTGTTGTTGTTTGCCATCTACAGAAAATTTTGCAAACTAGGTTATCTATCATGTTTAATAATTAATTAGGCCTTTAATTGATTATCTCCCACTATTTTTAACAAATCAATAACCCTCGATATTGATCCGGAGATTTCCGGTGAAACCTCTAGTGGGCCAAGATCCATATTTCATTATCTTGCGTTCCGCTTGGGCGTTACTCCACAAGACAACTATTTAGGTAGGAACATAGTTCCAACTGATGAGCCGGGCTCTCAGCTCTTGGTCTAGTGTTGGGCGAACAATATTACTACAACCGGACCAGGACACCTTTTCACCATACTTGTAATTGGCTGAGGCACGTCTTACAAGCAGACTACTTTGGTTAGGAACAGAGTTCCAATTAAATCATAAAGATCCAACTCCTGGCTGGATGAATGAGTAAAATCATCCGACTTGTCATTGATGACCCCAACTTACTGCCTCTGAGTCGTCCATCCATTTCACCGAGACTCAGTTAAGTCTAACCCAACGTGCGACAGCGACCACGCTATGGCAGTTCCCGTAACCAGCGTAACATACACCGTACTATGCTCTGCTGAGGCTGACTACATGACAGTGTACATTAGCCGGATAGGTGCCGGGCGTCAGAAGGCAATAGACTTAATATTCGTGAGGGATTTATAATTTAGATCTCACCTATCGACATGGCCGCGCACATGTCCATTACTAGCGTTCAACATACATTCAACATGCATTCACAAAACGCAGTAAATAAACGTGTAATGATTGTGGCCCCTAAAAGAAAAATAAAACGATAGCTCCCACTGGCTTCTGGGCACTTGGACTTCGGGCTATCTCCATTCTTTTAGATTTCTTCAAACGGTCTTCAAATCTTTTCGTCTTCAAACCACCACGTGAGAAAATAATCCTCAGTTGAGGTAAGAGAGAGAAATAGATTTACAACAAGAGTTTATGAGATAAGGCACGACACGCAGGCCGTATTATAATCAAATAAACTATAGCCACAATCATCCACCATGCATATCATACATCCACACAAGCAATAGAGATATACATACACCGGGTGAACCGCGCTCACCCCAGACAGTTCTAGAAAAATGCTACGGGAGTAAATATTTTCTAAAACTCATAAAATTAAATTAGATGTCCAAATAAATCTAATAAAATTTTATAAAAACCATTTTATGCATTCTGGATATTCTGCCAGCAGAAAAAATAAAAATCCAGAATATTCCAATTGACCAAAATGCCCTTTTTGCAAAATTATATTCAAAAAGGCCATTATAATTTTGAAACAATTTTGAAAAAATCATGAAAATTAAATTTCAACTTCCAGTAGTTATTTTTAACATTTATAAACCTGTAAATAAAATTTCCAAAATTTATAAATCATTATTTCCAAAATATATTAGTTAAATCTCAATAAGTTATAAAACACCATTTAAATTATCTTCGAAAACATTAAATTATAAAAATTTAATATTTTGAAAAACATTCTTTTTCTTACTGAGATATAACTTTACAAAATATATATTAGTCATTTATGTAATTAAAATACAAATATATAAATGTATATAATATTTCGGTAATAAAACCGAGTACATATATAAATATATATTTATTTAATTACTAACTAATATTATTTTGAACAATATATTTACCAACAACCTTATTCAACTTAGAAATAATATTTCCAAGTTTAATAAAGTTCATTTTGAATTTTCCCATATTTATTTCGGTTTTCACCTAAATAAATACAATAAATTCAAAATAAGAAATAATACATTCAAAAATTACAATATAATTTTATCAATCATAAAATGATATTTTATGTCCAAATAAAATTATATTTACTATTTCTACAATATATATATATATATTTTTCGAAAAATCAAAATATATATCTTTATATATATATATATTACGGGTAGAAATAAAATAAATAAATTTAGAATTCATTTTCAATGATTTATTTAAGTCCAATACTTATTCCAAGACTAAATAAAATCATTTTACCAATTTTTGAATTTTAATAATTACCAAGTTAAAACTTTGACTTTTAAAATTTTAAAAGTCAAACGTAAAACTATAGTTTTGTACGTTGGCTGCGATACCACTGAAAGGTAACCATGCAAGGATAGGCAGCAGAATATAAAAATTTTAACATCCTAACATGATTATCTTGCCCAGAATCACGTACTAAAACTTATAGTAGTAAGAAATTTGTATCTTTCTCCGTAAGCGGTAAAACGAAGAAGTCGTAGGAAGAGCGTTGAAAGTGCAAACGTAACCGTTCAAGCGTCCGGTCTCCAACTTTGACACACGAACAACGCCGGAGTCTACCACAATCTTTATGCTAGTAAATATTATAGTAGTATAAAATATAAAGATTACAATTGGGATAATAATAATCTTGTATATTTCTATAGAAAATAGTTCTAATAATATTTAGAAAATATTATAGATATTTTCTATACACAAAATGATATTAATGGAACACAATAATATATTTTTCTCTCACTAGGAAATAATGGCCGAGAATACTCCCTTAAACCATAGCCAAAACTCTCATTCTCTTTTACAAAGTGGCGTACAAATTGTAAGGAAGAAAAATGATAAATTTAACTTTGTCATTAACTAAATGACAAAAATTATTAGCT